ATGGCAACCAAAGTGCTTACTAGTCAACTGGAGAAAAACTAACAGGTCTGGTATAATTTTTACATGAACTGTGTTACAGAGTCTGGGTCAATGAACTCTGGCTTCCTTGAACACAGTTCAGTATTACAGCTAGCCAGGGCAAAGCAAGTCACCTAACAGTTATGTCAGTGCTTTGCTGACTCAGAAGTAATATAGAAAGAAGAATAAAGAAGATAGATTGCATTTTAATTTAAATTTGGTGTTCAAAAGGGGATTGCTGATGTACTCCTAAAGTGAGATTTCAAATCAGCAGAAGAAAAAATATGCAACTCCCAAAGCAATTTCTGTAAAAACCTAAATTGTGTTTTGTCCTAAGAACTTGGAATTTGTTAAGGTTCACGTCAATAGCTTAACTCCTGGTTCTTCTAAAAACATTCTTTATTTCTAATAGTGAGCAGTATATTTTGGTTAACAGAAAGGAATATTCTGAATAGTGATATGAGAGAACAGGAACTCCTGAAATACACCATGTTGCCCACAGAAATCTCACCTGTGCCACTGCTGAGTAGGATACCGACATTTGGTCTTAATTTCCTTTAGACTGAGAGGCATAACTGAACCGGAAGGAGTTCAGGAAGAATAGATCATGGTCCTATCAATTTATGGCTTTTGAGCCACGTTTTTAAAATCAGCGGTTACGCTGATACCTTTCTGTAGCTCTCAGCCCTTGCTAGGGAGTTGTCAGAAGGCAGAATTCAATCTTCGTTTGCACTTAAATGTAATTTCTGATGCACTGTGCAAAGCTGAACAATTCAGCTGACTCCTAAGAAGATAGCTGACTGCATCCTAGCAATCAATCACTGTCACATATATAGAGATGTTATTTCTGATGTTGACCAATAGTACTTTGTGTATGGCCAAAGGATACCTCAAAAAGTGTTTTACTTGTAGGTATTTTCACTTACTTTGAGCAAAATGTCGACAGGAACAAGAAGAATAAACAAAAACTGTTCTGCAACATCCCTTAGGGTAGGCTGGAGAAAAGTTATGGGCATCACAGCAGCACCCTCTACAGCTGTTGTCTCTGGCAACAGCAATACCTAAATCAAACGTGGTGCTTTGTGTCAGGATGTGACTTAGGGATGGTCCCTGAGGTTTCCATGCAGGTCAGAGGGTAGCATACTGGGCTGGCAGCACTGCACTCATCACATCACATGGGCTGAGCAGTGGAGGCCTGCGTGGATCTACAAGTGGGAATTAATCCCTGTTATTCTGTGCAAACTGCCAAACAGTTTTTCAAGCTTCTTGCAGGCTTGTGATTTTGGAAAGGGGGCTTAATGAGGCATTCCCTTTCCTGCATCTGCCTTAATCCATTGGAATAAAACTTACTTTGCAAAAGCTTGCCAGGCCTTTAGGTTCTCTCACAGGCAATGCCAAAGGTTATCTAATGGTGAGCTCTTTTTACGTTACATGCCTCAGTGAATGTTTCCATTGACACAGAGCTCACCATAAGGGCAGAATATCAGCACCATCTTGTGGACAAAATGAGACATAGGTGACTAAGGAGACAAATCCATCGGTACTAACAAACGTTTAAGCTGAAATTACTTAAGATATCTGATTTGTGCTGTGTTAAAAGCCATTATAGTACAGTATGGCACCTCCCAAACAATGGGAATAAAGAGCAGTGTATAGACAGAGATTATTTTGTGATTGTGCAGTGAAAGAGGAATGAGAATACTCCCACAAGTTTCAAATATTGTTGAGATGCAACTCGAGCAGTAACTACTGTCAGTCATAGCAAAATAGGTGCATAAGTCCAGGTTATAGACTGGCTAAAAATTAATCTGTCATGGTGATGGACACAAATGAAAAAGACTGAGGCAGAATTTTGTACGTAAAGAGAGTTGGTGGGAGGCGTTCTTTAGATGAGGAAGGCTAGGTATGACTTTAAAACCACTTATTGCTGTCCCAAAATCACAGAGCAGCTGCAGAGCTGCCAACAGCCGCATAATGGTACCTCAAGCTGAGATCCGAAACTCCACATAGGCATGCCATGGAATTTTAAATAAAAAATCCTACTTCAAAATGACTCTTCTCTAAGGCAATAGGACAGGTATATTACACATCAGAAAACAAAGTAAATCAGATCTACTGTGCAGGAACACAAAATAGTATCTCTATGCCTTCTTCTATATGGGAACTCACAGAAACAAAGATAAGATAATGAGATCCCTACATTATCATCCATGTAGATGACAGATAGATCAGGGTAGCTGACTTCTGTCTCTGTCAGTTCTTCCTCCTGATTATCCCTGACAGCTATAATCACTTTCATGTTATCTGGTCTCAGTCAAGCAACATTTCCACTTCTGCATGTCCTGCAAGACATGAAGTGAGCAGAGAGATGGTATGAAGTGTTACAGTGCATACACTGGATTTGCTAGACTATTTGTTGTAAAGATCCCTTATCTGTCATACTACCAAGCTTATGAAAATACCATTCTACTAAGAAACCATTTGGAGACATTTGGGCATTTGGAAACAATTCATACATCTGGCTTCATTAAGACATGAATTGTGACCATTTGCTGTAACTAATGAATGAGGCACTAACTCGGGACACCATTCATTATCATAAAGCTATTTCCTGCCTACTCAATAAAGCTTTGAGAATACTTCAGCAGAAGGAAAACAGCAGCAGACGCACTTGGGAAGTGATAAATGCCTGAGTCTGAGGGGCATCCTGAAAGTTTCAGCAGAGCTAAACACACGGGTTCTCACCGTAGCATGAAGAAGAGTCCCTGCCACTCTGGGAGGCTGGAACAGGGAATTGAGTTCTGGCAAGACATTTGACTAGCAGAAGCATTTGTAGATCTAGCAATCTAATTTCCACCAGCACCACATAAAATTAGGGAAAAAATTATTTTCCCTAGCAGATCTAATTTCTTATTACCAGAAAAAAAATAATCATATGTAGTCACATAGATAACAGCCTGCACCTCTTAGGTACCAACACAGCCATTGCAGTGCTGTTCAAGCATTACGGTTTGTGCTATTTATCAGATAGATACCAGATAATAGAACCAAAATATGATATTTTAAAGTAAACAGCAGATACAACCAGAAGGAATCAAAAATGAGAAACAAATGTGTTCTGCTGGCACAGACAGACTGAAGAAGATGACTGGAGAGAACCATTCTTTCCCTTCTGCCCACTAAGAAGGGCAAAATAAAGCACTACTGAAAACTATCATATCAGCACTTAGCATTCCCAGCCACAAACTATCGATGTATGGCAGGAACATATTTCCACAACCTCTCTGGTTTGGCAATGGTACTTTAGGAATCATACCATATCTTAAATTAAAAACAAAACAAAAAATACAACCTTTATTGCAGGCATTTATACAGATACACATGGCTTCTTATAATCAATGAGCCCATAGCAGCTGGGTTTCAGAAGCAAACCCAGAGCCCCTGCCTAGGGAGTGGTTTGAAAGTCCATGCAGCTGAGCTGAACCAGGCTGATCTACCCTCTGTAGGGTAGGAAATCTCTCTCTGTAGGTGAGGCAAATGTTTATCACATTTCTTTCTAGCTGCCAGTCAGCTCTGTTTCTGCTGCTTCTTTTTGACAGCACAGTCTATTGTGAAAGCTGAAGGTGACTTTCTGCCAAGCAATACCTTGGACACTGGAAAGCAAACATATATTGTTTCTCTTCATCATTTCTCTTAAGGTTTCACTGTGCCGTTCCCACTTCCTCTTGAATGGATTACTGGGGAAAATACTGACTCATCATCATTCTTCAAGATCATCTGTAAAGAAAGCCTACTAGAACTTTAAAATGCACATTCGATCTTCCATTTTTTTGTCAATGTCCACTTCATAGAGTCTCTCCTATACCTGCACAAGGATATCTCTAAATGGCACTAGCAAGACAGCAGTAACTGTGAGAAATGGTAAAGTTACATTTGGTTATACAGAATCGCATATCAACCCCACGGATAGCTGTAAGCATACTTGTGAATAAGTTTGCATACATACTGTATCCAGTGGGAAAATACTACAGTTGCAAGAGCAAGAGAAACTCTATTCTTTCTGGTCTTGTGCTACGGGAAACTTGCACAGGCTCCTACAGGGTTCCCAAAATGGCTTTCAGCACTTTGGAAGACCAAAGAAATTTCCAGGTATGTAGTGTTTAACGTTCGCTACCCTCCACAGAGTGCCCACATGCGGCTCCCTTTTTCTGAATGAGGAAATGGATTGGCTAAATGAGCAGCCTGAGCTCAGGGAAGGAGGAGCTTTAACACTAGCAGCTGTATCTTGTGACACTTCATGCTAAGCACACACGTGCAGACATCCACTTCTGCACTTATAACATGTAGAAAAATGGCAAAAAATGCCCTTCCATGTGTGCTCTTCTACCCTGCTGTTTTGGCAAAACATCCAGCTCCTCTGTCATCAGTGGAAAGCAAAACTGAGTTACATAAACACAAAGATGAGCTTCCATTGTGTAAAGAGCCTTGATTTTAAGAGTAAAAAGGAGAAGCAATCTTTAGTCAGTGAAATGCTTGGAGCCATCTTATCGGTTCTTCTAGTCTGGCACATCTTAAAGTGTTCTAGATTATCAACATGAAACAAATCTGTTTCTATCCAACTCCAGGTAAAATATGACTATGTCTCCTCATAATTTGGTGATACCTTACATGACACCTGGTTTTGCTAAGTTGGACTGCATTGTAAGAACTAGTAGATTCCTCCACCCTGCGATAAAAAACATCTATGAAGTATGAAGCTAACTCCCCCACCAGTCTACTTCTGGGCAAAATACAAGCAGCAACACTGCATGGTAATACAGGACAAGGATATCCCACGTTAGAAATATGCACAAGATGTTACATGTTTCACAGAAAAATCCATGTGTATTTCATATTTCCATCTGTATGCAGCATTTTGCAAGCACCTAGCCCTCCAGATGTTTTATGCTTACTCCTTTCCAGAAGAAAAAGGGAAACACAGAGAAGGCAAAAACGTTTATTAGCATAAAAAGTACATATTCAGTAATCAAGACTCAAATTTCTGTACCTGCTACTGTTGAGGGAGGTTGTTAGAGTGTTGGAGGTTTGAGGTGGGAGACATGTTATGTTTTTTTGTCTGTTTTCTTTTTACTTTCAGTTTTTTTGTGAGTTTTTTTTGTTTGTTTGTTTGTTTTTAAGTTATGTAAACAATTCACAGTAAAACCCGTAGATGAAGACTACTAGCTATCATTTATATACTTTAAAAAGTTAAATAAAAGAACCTATTTCAGCAATACAAAAGGTAATATAAAAATGTGTTCAGATGCATGACAAACGCGTTAGAAGAAAACGCAGAAGGACATCACAAGTAAATAAAAATAATGTTTTAAAGTTAGATCATACTAGAGATTCTCTGTATGGTCCAACAAGAAAAGCATTTTGAAATTACTCAGATCTATAAGAAATCTGTACAGATGCACCTGTTTTAACTGCATTAAACACTAACATATTAGAATAATAAACTGATTAAAAAGGAATAAGAAATGTTAATTCAAGCTTAACATTTCAAGCTGCCTATTTCATAGAGCAGTAGACAGAGGTAGATGTCCAGTGTTAGTGACCAAGCAAGGGCATCTAGCAAGGGCCTTTAGCTGTCTTGTCAAGTCTTTACATTCAAAGCCAACGTGAAAAGGCTTCACAGGTAAAGGATGTCTTTCAAAAAGCCAGCCTGAAAGTCTGCATTGCTGATGGAAGTTGTTTCAATTATGCTGCTTAAAGTGAAGAGCACTTAAGAACAAATCACTCCCTAGACCACTGTAAGGACACCACTGATAAAGCACTAGAACAAATTAATTTCAATTTTGTTAACAAGGTTGCATGAGCTCATTCCCTATGCTTATTTTTGAAGCTAAACCATTGCTGCCTAGCTGGCTTGTGACTAGTCAAAGTAAGATTGCAGGGTACCACGGCGGCGGATATCACATGTCCAGCAATGGAAACCACCTCCCAGTGAGTTGGCATGGCGAATATTCACTTTAATTGTAGAAATGCCTGCAAGAAACATACATTGCATACTTTTAAATGAAAACCTCAAATTCATGTGGTAAGCTTTGATCGGGACATTAATTAATGCTTTATCAGATCATATGGCTGGATGCAAGTACAGAAAGTATTTCCTACTCATTTGTTAAGAATTTCTTTCCCCAAATTCTAGGCAGAGAACAAGCTAGGAACATAGTCAATTCATTAATTCCAGCCATGCCCTTGGGAATATACAGTACCCAGAGCACAGCTGGTATTTGTTGTGTTATGACATGTCAGTCATAAAAAGAAAAAAAGAAATCTCTTTTTCAGTATATGAAGAATTTGCTGAAATGCTGCTATGATGTGTGACCAGGCACATTTACATACATTTCTGTTAGCATTTATGGTTCAGACACTGAAGGTGCTCTTTCAAGTGCCTTTCAAGAAAAGTAGAATTCAAAGCGCAGATCTCCAAGTCCCTCCTTCCTCTGAGAGGGAAAAAAGAGGCCGTTGCAGTTAAAACCTCAGTTAAGGTAAATTTCCTCCCTCTTCTTTTCAGATCTGATTTTTTTCAGCTGTGGCACAGCTTAGGCAAAGTCCTCACAGGTGGACTTGGATCAGAAGGACTTTTGTGGTTTGAAGTTTGTCTTTTTGCTTCTTGGTATTTTTGCGAACTCAAAAGCAGCTCAGCAGAATCCACCATCTTGGTTAGGAATATTTTAATTCCCAGCGGACTGATCTCAGCCCTATGAATTTGCTGACTACAGGATTTTACATAGAGCTCACGTGGAGTAAAGTTCAAGTGTAAAGGATGTGGTGACAACTGGTGTTAATAGCCTCATTTTCTAAGTGCATTAAAGCATTTATACATCTGCTCCTTGCTCATACAGAGAATTAAGAGTGCAAATCAAGAGTTACTCACTAATGCTGTATAGCATTTTTTTTAGAGCAGAAAAAAGCATTAGATTGCATGGTTCACCCCTGTGAGCTCTCTCAGATTCAAGGGAAGCTTCGATGAAGTGCACTCATCCATGACCACACCAGCCTTCCTTCTAGGTTCAATCTGTCTTTCCCCTTTAGTTCATTCTCTGCCTTTAAAGGAGTCTTCTGCTCCTGAGAATTATCATCTCTTACTCTCCAATATAATGATTGCTCACTCTCCCTGATTTTTCATATCTAACCATCTGTCGTTCTTACCCATTAACACTTGCATCACCGTGAGCTTAACCTGCAGCAAGTGTCAGCTGGTCTTGAGCAGAAGCAGTTGCTCAGAAGGAGGGCAGTCTATGAGCTGTAAGTAGAGCTACCTATATCTTTCCCCCCAAATGTGATGGGAACAATTGGATTAACTGCATGACTTCAACAAATTAAGTTTGTCTTTTCAAGGAGCTAAGATAAGACTCAGATTTTATATTCAATTACAGTTCTTTTGTCACTGCATATCATATTTTTCCCTGTAATGAGGTTACATCTCACAGGAGTGAGAGTCTCCATTAAGTGAGCAGAAGCCCCTGGTTTACACAGCCGAAGTTTGAAGTACAAAGAGTTTGGAACTAAAAGAGAAATCTGAAGTATTTTGGCTGCTTCACTCAGCAACGTGTGCAAGCAATCTCTCCAGCACAAAATTTGACTTCCAAATCAAACAGACAGTTTTATATTAAAAAAGCTAATTCAAAAGCATTCTACTCATACTTTTAATTAGTATTCATACCTTCCTTTGCTGCAAGCCGTAGGAGACACAAGGTGTAAGAAGCTCACATTCGTATAACTTAAGTATTCAGGAGATAAATCCCTAAATGACTCTTATTCATTAATCCAATTGTTTGAATACTTTCTCCAGTGCTTTGACTACTACAAGTAAGGCCTCCATTCATCCTGATGCACACAGCTGATCTCAAGATCATTTCACTTCAAGCGTATGTTAGAATAATTAGAAGAAATTAAGACATACCCAAATTTTCAAACATCTTCTGAATTGAAGTCTCATTGGCATCGACCATCACACGTTTCTCATCCAGCATTAGGACATTCATGGAAAGCCATTTGGAAGACATCCACAGTGGGTGATCTAAACACAAGAGAATGAACCTTCTACAGTAACTGTAGATTTTGTTCCACAAAAACACTCTTAATCCAAGAGAATACTCTTGGAATTCTTAAAAAAAAAGAAAAAAAAAAGAAACTCTGAATATACCATCTGGGATGAGTGGCACTGGTGGATGAATCACTGTCCAGCCTGATTTCTTGAAGAGCTCAATCTGAAAGACAAACTTAGTTAGATTCTAAACAGGCCTCTTAAAATATCACATTATGTCCTCTGCTTCTTCTCATTTTCTAGTGCTTTTCTTAATACAATCTAGATATACAAAGTCATGTTACAGACAAAGGTGATACATGCAGTTCAGAGCCTGTCAAGTTAAAATGATACTTGTAAGAGTATTGTATTAGTATTGTGTTTGTTGTGACTTCTCACATGACTACAGGAATCACTGATGAGTTAGAGTGCCAATAATAGAGACAGAATCAGCAAAAATATCACTTGAAATTACTTCCGCATCATGCTTCCTAAGAAACTTAGTATGCATCTTATTTAACAAAAGAAAATAAATACAGGCATTGTATGGAATAATATGCTTGTCTAAGAATTAAAAAAATTAGTAAAATTATCCTCTTCTTATTTGGCTAAAACAGAATTGACTTTTCAACCTCACTGCCTGAAGTCTTGGAATAAATGGCTCTTTATGTAACCACGTATGTTGTATGTGGGTATATGTGTAACCACGAGAGGGAGCTCTGATTCCGAAAACTCAGTGAGCAACTCGGTTAACGATGGAGAGGCTTCCCAAGTAGGAATTGGAACAAAAAAAAAGAGGGGGGGAGGGGGAGAGGAAGGAAGGAATTCCTCATTGGAACAGCAGAAACGCCTCGATATCTCCTTGGATACAATTACTATATTTAAGTTATCAAAGCATTACAGTAGTAGTATATCCTGTATACTTGCTTCGACCCTACACTGTTATAAAATAGATCACTTCCATCATATTTAAATCATGTAGTCTCACAATAGGAAAGCAAAGAGCAGCAGGGATACTTTTCTTAACTTATGATTGCTCTTTAAATTGAATAATTCAATGTTATTCAAGTGTACACAACTTGTGGGTTGGCAATTGTCCAGCAGAGCCCTAATCCATCTGAATAAGTTTTAGATATTGAACACTTGATACTTCCTCTTTTGCTATAATCTTACCTGGTGGCACGGACGGTCTGGGTTGGACAACACAAGACCAGGTCCAATGATATTAAACGTGGCATCAATGTGCATAGGGTTGGGATCCTTAAAGGATATTACATGCACTCGGTAGTCAGGTGCAAGGTGTCTCCTCATCCATTCAATGCCCATGTAATTTGTAACCTAAAAACAGATCTAAGTTTCACTAGCTAGAACACAAACAGCATCCAAACATGGCTTTTAGAAAGTTTTATTTAAACAAATATTTAACACCAAAACATTATAAATCTGTGCCTCTAACTAACTCCTAACAGCTAAGAGGCACTCTATGAAATAACTTATTTTGTCAAAACTACTATTTTAATATTTTATTAAAATATTTTTCATTAAAATAATTAACAAAAAAATTAATAATTTTATAATACTTTATATGACTTATTTTGTCAAAAATACTATTTTAAATTTTGGGAATTTAAAGAATATAAAAATATAAATGCAGTATACAATATAGACAGTAACAAAACTGCTGGAAGAAACCTTTGTTTACCTGACTCCTTTGAACAAAGATATCTCTTCCAGCTCTAATGAAATCAGCAGCATCAAAGCATGGCTCAAATTCAGTAGTTACAAATTTTCCCTGAGCAGCCAGTTTATGTCTGTCTTCAACAGAGCGGATAGGATAATCCTGGTTGTAAAAAAGAGAACAACTTTAGGCTCATGTTGGTAGGAGAAAGCTTTTGATCTCTTTAACACTTGAGAGTATTTTGAAATGAAGAGAGTCCATTTAGATCAGTAACTAGCACATTCCTTGAAGCTGGTTTAGTTTTCTTGCTTCTAAATGAGAAGAAAAAAAAAAAAAGCTAAATTATGGAAGTTTAAATAAGAGGTTTCAAGCACATTCAAGAATAGGTGATGATAGATCAGTTATACTAAGAAGTTAATAGCTCCTTCGAGCCACTGTTTCTGCAGTACACTGGCTTCTGGATTCAAAGTATTCATTACTAGTTGAGTTTAACTATCAGTCCAACAAATCATTGCACAGTGACAGAGATACTGGTATGCAGCTATTTCCTAACAGAGGTGGACTTTGTACTTTTTCCATGCTTTAGAGGGGAGCAGTACTTCAACTTAGAAGGTAGATCTCCAGAAAGTTAAATGTATTTTAGAATCATACAATGGAATTAAAAACAAATTAGGTAGAAAATAGCATTTAAAAAGCTACTAGATAAGTAAGCATGCAATTTACTGCTTGGATGTTTCCTAATACTGAACAACTCTTCTAAAGTAATCTAATTTAACAAAGGCTACTTTGCATCACTGGGAAGTGTCAATGCACCCAAAATAATCAGTTTAAATCCTCCACTATTTCTTCACTTAACTTCCAAAACTTCATGCAAAACAAGAATTATGAGGTCTTTTTGGTGAAAAATGTGCATAGTCTGACTTTCCTGATACATTCTGAAAATATGGACATCCTCAGAGAATCTTAATTCTTTAAAGATATCTTTGTGATGTCCTTCCAGCAATACTGTGCTTCAGTCAGCAATCAAAACAACTCAAAGCAGACCTGAATTCAGCTGGCACAGCTTCCTGCTTCTTATTACGCAGGCATAAACTCAGTTTCACATGGAAAGACCATAAAATATCTGCATACATGGATAAGTTCCCTATTCCCTCCCTGCCCCCCTCCCAATTTTGTGAAACAGATGTTGAAACTGACAGAAGTTCTGAAGCAAAATGAGAATAATACCTGATCGTAGAGCTCATCTGCCATAGTGGGTTTGGGAGCAGTTGTCCATTTAGCACCATTGTTGAAGTAATCTTTAATTATTCGCCTATATGCTCTGTACTCAAAGAAACGAGCACGCCAAGCCATAGGCGCTTCAATGATTTCATTTCCTACCACCAGCAGGATGTCTCTTGGCATGGCAGCATACATACCTAAAAGGAAAAATTCCACTCATTGATGAGACAAATATGCGTTCCTTATTTCTTTCAAGCTATTTACTTTTCACACTGATTTTTACCATTACTGCTCTCTGAAAGACTTGCAAATAGCATCTTCACAGAAGTCGGAAAACCAGACCATAAAGAGGACCTTACTGACATCCCTCAGTTTTTCTACATGATCAAAAGACTTGCTTCAAACCCTCACAATGCTTTGCTCATAACAAGTTTACAGCTAGCAGGGAGTCATCTGCAATCTACAAGTCCCCACTTCCCAAACTGGTTAATGGAAATTAAATAGACAAGTGTCTAAGGATGACTCAGATCAATAAAATGAGGTAGCTGGTTATCCAAGTTGACCACATTTCTTTATATTACATCCTTTTTAACAGTGATAGCACAGAATAGGAATTTGATGCAGTGCAGAACTAGTCCCAAAAGAGGTTGTAAATAAACAAACAAACAAAACAAACAAAACAAACAAAACAAACAAAAAGAAACAACAATCAACTGCTTTGTAGTTATGTAGTGCAGCACTGTGACATGTCAGCAATCCAGATGTCATAATTCCAACCATAAAGATTTTCTAAGTCATGGCTACACCCAGGCACTACAACCCGAACTAGCACTGGTTCCTACTCCTGCTTGGAACAGGGAATAAGACTAGATGGCATCCAAAGTGCCTCAGAAAAGAGCTGAACAGACTGTAATGCCATCTACAAAGGAATAACATTTACCCGTAGATTCAAAATCAGGAGTTTTATACTTCACAGACCAGTCAATTGGATCAGGCCTCTTGACAATTACACCTTCTTTTTTCAAAATATTGCACATCTCTTCAATTTCAGCAATAGCTTTTTTCACATGGTCTTTGGGGAAGCTTTCACCTCCAAATTTCTGATAGAATCCCCAGTACTTTTCATATGTATTGGCCTAAAGCAAAAGGACAAGTGACAAAGAATAAGCAGCAGTTATTTTTGTAAAAGTGGAACAGATACACAATATACAAATCTTCACATTTAGAGTTTCACCAATTCCACATTGCTTTGTATAAAGTTACCACCATCACATCCCAGTGCATCTTAAGTTCAAGTCCAGCAATGATTTGAGGAGTTGGTGAGAGTTGTTACTGCTGATCAGGTCCTGCTGATCCTTTTAGAATATGGCTGGGGTAGTGCAGGGAAAGGAAGGGAGAAGCCTCAAGACTTCAGTTAATGCTGCCTATTATTCCTTCTTGAGAATTCCTGTCCTAGTAGTACACTACTGTATTTTTGTGCTTACTTCTGCTGTTAATACTTACCACTGGCAAGGTTTTGCTCAGATTCTTTATGATGTGCATGTATCCAGTTACTAGATATGTATAAGTGCAGGTGTTAGGCTAGTTGTGAATGGCTGATGTCTTCACAAATACTTCCACACAGTGTAACAGAGTTAAGTTACAGCTGTACATGCTGAGAAGACTCACTCGACTAGCAGTTTTAGCACTGCTGACAGACAGTACATGTGGCATGATGCCCAAATGAAGTGTCTTTTGATGAACAGCAGAAAAAAAAGAAGAAAAAAAAAGATAAGTCAGTTCTGGAAAGGAGAGAAGTATATATTTCATTCCCATTTGCAAATGTAGTGCTTTGGCTTTGAGATGGGATTTTCAGGGTATTATATTTCCTCATATTTTTGGTTATGGATGGATCAGTAGCTCATGTTCCTTGTTTCTACTGATGGAAATACTATCACAAATAACATAGTAAATTGCTTCTTTACTAGTCTTCTCCCCTCTCCAGTCACAGCCCTACAGAAAGTCTCAATATTAGCAAATTGCAGATGAAAATCACGACAGACTGCATAAACATCTTCTATTTACACTTCAGTTACAATTTACCAGGTAGAGCTGCCATGTGGCCATGAAAGATTTGGGCCTCATTACACCAGACCTGTACAAACACCACAGAAAGGAAAGCCTTCAGACATGACATCTAACAAAGCTAGCACAAGTGCACATGCCTGCAGTCACCTTGCCCTGCCTACTGTCATAGCAGCGGCACCAGAATTCTAAAGCAGCAAGGGACAACGTGCCCTGTAGGCCAGAAGCAGCCATGTTTCAGGTAAAGCAGCAGTCTACAGAATGCAAGTGACACATTCATCTGTTGGGTGGATTAATCCAAGTACAACACTTACAGGCAATCCTCTGCTCTTTAAATCCTCTGATTGTTTTCTCTATCTAAAAACTAATTCAAAAGTATGCCCCTGTATTCAGGGTTAAGGAGAAAACAGAGGTTTTTAAAGCAAATTTTAAAACATTAAGCTGTTTCAGCAGCCTATCTTTGGAAGCACTTCATTTGGATTTATGAGCTGCGAAAGCAGCGGCTCAGACAGGTCTCTGCTAACACTCAGACACAGGAGCAAGTGCGAACAGAGCCCTTTCGGAATGACAACAGAAGGGATCAGAAGTAGTAAATACAAGAGTCAGGACTTCCCTCTACCAGTTCTGTTCAGTCAGCCAGGGTGAGGGACAGCAATGGGACACAGGAGAACCTGCCCTCTGTAACACAAGGCCTCTCCTGTCGCTGCAGTCCCAACCGCCTTCCCAAAAGCAGCATTCTGGGCAGAGACAAGGCAGTGATGAACCCCCAACCCTGAGTATTGCTGATATGGCAATTCATCTGAAGGTATTTCTAACAATCCAAGCTATGCACAGTACTCTCTACTATTTCTGGGAAATTGCCCTTAAACTACAGAAGTAAGAAAGAAAAAAAAAAAAAGGTCAATCTTGTAGATATTCTTAACATTTGTACGTAAAGAAGTTTGCCTCACTTGTGTGAGGCAAAAGCCTCAGTATGGCCATCCTGCTCCTCCGCCACTGGAACTTCTTCTCATCCTTCTTGGGGGATTTTATTCCTTCCCTCCCAACCCCCACAGAGGTCTCGGGTAATTTGATCACCTCAGGGCTGCCAGCTGTGCAGACACCACATGCAGATCACATGAACGGCCTAGCACTCCTATGGAATCCCATTCTGCTAAGGAGATAAGTTTGTCCCGAGGAGTAAAGCTAGCTGTTTTCAGAACCACCCATGATATATTTCAATCTCCTTAATTCCTTAGAGGTACAGCTCTCCTTTACTACTGCTCCTCTTTTTCAAACCTGTAAAATGACACCTGAGGAACACTAATCCAATGGTGTAATCTTAAAATGAAGATTTTAAGATGAAATAACACAGCAAAAACACCCCTCTTATCCTATACTTTCTTAATAGCTGAGGAAAAAAACTATACAACTGAGATGTCTCTTTTGTATTAACTCAGGGTTAAGACTTCAGGCCCCTCGGATCATATACTTGCAACTTATTTCAGTCTGCTCAAAAAATACTGCATACAGGAAAGAGCCTTAAATAACCTCCTCAGTGCACATTATGAGCTACAGCCTGAAAGTATCAAAGAAACTGCAGTAGCCTTTGAGGGGAAAAGAACAATAACACCACAAATTTATTTTCAGAAAGAAATTTAAGAGTGCTGTGAGAAAAGGGTGATATTTAACAAACAGCAGAATCACTTCCTATAGTTGATATATATTTTAAACATTTATAGTGGGAAAACAATATTACCAAGGATATCTAGACCTACCTTAAGGTAAGCTTTCACTCAAGATATTATGACCCAACTCTTATATGAGAGAAAACTCTTCATCAAAAATGCATTATTCACAAAACTGAAAAAAATATTGCAAAGGACAAAGTCATAAAGCTCAACTATTTGACTTAATATCAACTGCTTCAGAAGAACACAAGTGAATGACAAGACTTCAGATGAATGTGCTAATTCAAACAAGGGCATCTTCCTAATTAATGTAATGGTTAGCTTTCTGGTTATGGTATGGATTTCCCATAGCTTTCCAATAGAGTACTTACCTCTACATAACCTACATACTCCATTTCAAGCTCCCAAAAGAACGACAAATTAACTGTGAAATTCATTCATTCCTCCTCTTTATGCCAAGCATTTCATTTCTACATCACAGCAAAAAGACTTCTCGTACTTTCAATGTACACAGGTGAGCTGAACGCAGCCATACTCCCTTATATTTTGCAAACATGTATACAATTTTAAACCACAACTTAGAAGTACCCCCAAAGAAAAGATTCATCAAAAGCGTTTTATAATTTGAGATGTGCTTTTTGAAGTATTTCAGGTACAATACCTTAGTTCTCCTTTTTTAAACTGCCTGTTTTTAATGTTACTTTTTAAAACCTCATTCGCATACTTGGCAGAAGGCATGTGATGTGTGTAAACCCTAGGAACTGCCACTTATAGGAAAGTTGTAGAGAAAGAGATTCTTATTCACCTGCTGTTCCTGGCTGTTGTGTTACACTGTAGCAACATGCATAGACCTCCCTTACCATTCAGGGGGGTGGCCAAGATTTGAACATCTGAATCTATTCATATCTTCCACTACTGGCAAAGTAGGATTACTCAACTATGCCCCCAAGGTGGAATTACTATGTCAGCTTTCACAGCACAATTAAGAATAGAAAACAGAGAAAATTAGAAGAAAACACATTTCTGCAAGCACACTCTATCACTAACACCTGTTGTGGACAACATATTCCTCAGATTAGACATTTTAAATAAAGGACAGTTAAAAGTAAAGCTTTCTTTAACCTCCCATAGTAGGCCTTCAAATTTCAGAGTTAATTGTATACTCTGGCATTCCTCATTTATCTTTTTATAGTGCACATAACAGAAAGTGAAGTTCTGCGTTCATTAAAACCCCGCTAACTATGACATTTCAGCAAGGCAGACACTTGAAAGTATACTTTTTCTGACATTAAAGCCCTTGAGCACTACTTGAGAACAGAATTTCATCCAAATGTGATGCTACCACATAACAAAGAGAGACACTAGGGGTTTGGTTTTTTTGCATATGCTTTCTGTCCAATCACTATGGTATTTTATATAGAAGTATATAAATGTACATACATACATTTTACATTAAAAAAGCCAACCCTCATTAGCTTCTTTTTCTGAGGCTGCTAGAATTTCTCTGCGTTGTCTGAAATAGGATTCTGGAGGTTGGTAAGCAAGCTTCAGCTTTCAAGGTGTAAATAGAAGCCATAAAGAAGTCAGTAGAAAAATTTTCATTGAGCTCACTGGGGCCAAGATATCTTCTCAAATATCCCAGCGTATGTCAGAGGAGTACTCCTCTAACTGGCAATCAGAACCACCAAGCTGCAGTAATTCATTCATACTCCTGCAGACACCTCTGTCCAGTATCATCACTCAAGTTTTAAATGATAATTTACTAAGGTAAAAGGGGCTGGAGGACAAGAAATCTTTTCTGTTAGTACATCCAGCACTTCCTCTAAATTACCATTTCCAGGACTTCAAATATCTTTTTAATATAACCTCTTCTTTGCCAAAAAGGTGTGGGTCCTGGCGGGGAGCACGGAGCTGAGCGTTAGAGTCAATGCGTTCCTGCTTCCCTTTTTACACTGAGCTTTTTGGCCAATTCTGTAAAGACATCCTTAACATTTTACTAAGGCAGCAGAAGCATTGTGCCATTTTACTGGGACAGCCGTACACTACTGTACATCCTGATTATGACCAGGAATGCAAGTAAAACCACACATTCAGCACCTTTAAAGTCCAGGTAAAGTTCACAGTAAGAATCTGGAGCAAGCCCAGCATTTGATCACTCCTTGTAAGCTAGAGAATGAGAGCTTCTGCTTTGTTTAAAACCATTTAAATTCTAATGTTCCGGGTAAAGCTTTACTTAAATGTTCATAAGAAGCAAAGCAAGGCAGAAATGCAACATTTAGAGAACAAAGAAACATGGATTTAATTGTTGCTATAGTTTCATACGTGACAAAAGAATCTGAAGAAAAGGTAAGAGTACACTTCTATAGGAAACATGGGAGTTCCAGCAAGAGCTATTTGAAGAGAACAGTCCTGCCTGCCTGCAGCTGTCTTTCTCTGTAGAAAATGACACTCTCCCTCCTCAAGCAGTAACTCCAAATAGTTCCAAGCCCCAGCTCGCTAATGAGGTGACAGGGCTGATGTAGGTTTATCTCAAATGCTGCAAGTTGTGACTTAGCAGTGGGAATAAGAACCATACCTCTCACCAACATGGTGATGCTGCAAGATCCCATGGATGTAAGCCACACCTTGAGAGGGGAATTCTCCTAAGCAAAAACCACACCTTGCGCAGTGCAAAACTTGAGCTGTACGTATTGAATCTGCATTACTTCCCACTAAAAGTTGCTTTTACCCCTTTTTACCTTGACCTCCACAGAAAAAGGAGGAACACGGGCGTTTTCAGCTCTTCCCACAATGACCTCTTCCAGGGGGTCCCACTCGTTGTAGGAGCAGACGGGGCACTCCTTGGGGCTGTGGGCTTTGTCCTCAGCAGCACTGCGGTTCTGGGACGCCGCAGCCACTTGGGTGCTCTGCAGAGATCGCTGCACCCATCCCGTGAAGGCCCTTCCGAGCTTAAAACAGAAACAAAGATCACGTTTTCCTCACAGAAGGCAGCATGCAACAGCTCAGTCCGCGCTGAGCGCCTCACGCTGCAATCCTAAAGCGACGAGCGTCGTTTGGAGCATCGGCAGCAACACAGTTTATTAGAAGCGCTCTCATTCACGGCGTGCTCAATGCTTAAAGGACAACGTGCCTTTTAAAGCGCACTCAGGCAAACAGCGCTGACAGCGGTGAATGGCGCCACCGAGCCCGGCGCCGCCGAACCGGGGGTCTCCGCCCCACGCCCGCTCAGCCCCGACTTTCCCGCCCAGCACCAACCCTCGAGCCGATGAAGTGCGCCGCTTCGGCTCCCCGGCTCCCCCCGCGCAAACACCGCACGCGCAACATCTCTGCGGATGGCGGCAGCCCCGCGCCCCCCGGCCCGCGCCCTTATAGCGGCCGGCCACGCCCCGCCCGCCCAGCGCTGAGGGGCGCGGCCATTTTCCCCCTTTTGGGGCTGTGCCCCGCGAGTGCGGGCTGTCCGCCTGAGGCGATTCCCAGCGCAGAGCGGGGCTGCTTGTCCGTACAAGGGTCTCCTTATGGCTGTTTAGTTATTGAGGGCGTATTTCCATGAAGTCCCGGACAACTGCAAATTCTGGCTTCCTCAAAAGCACATTATGCTATGCTGAAAAGTCATCCTAAAGTGGAGACCCACCATTGTTGGCTCCTAGGAGACCCTGCAATCTCCTGATAATATTAACAGACGTTACCTTCAAACATACCTGTTTCAGCAGAACTGTGGTCTACAGTGAGAAACTTTCTTGCTACCAGCGCCACTTACATCCTGTAATAGAAAATAAACAGTAATGATTAGCCTAATTCACATGGTTCTGCATTTTCTCAGCTTTACGTAAAAGTGCACTGTTCAATCATCTCACGTTGCCTTACAAAAGTTGTGGGGTTTTTTGTTTCTTTCAAAAAGTTTCTTGAAGAAGATATAGCAGAAAGTATTTTAGCCCAAGTAATATTGTTTAAAATAATAAAAACCTTTTCACCAACCCTATCATTTTCTGCCTTGCAGAGCTATTCTCAGCTTTGCTCAACCCTGCTCAGTCCATGTTCATTGCTCAGTGCTAGGACGTGGGGATGCCCATGAATAGACATGATACTCGACATTACTTCTATATATAAGACCACAAGCAGTGCTGATGAACTCAATCCACATGTATATAGAAGGCAAAAGACAAACATCATTAGTACAAATGTATATTAAAACATAAACTATGATTTTAGAATATAGCACATCAGCAATAGCTTTTAACAGGAATAAGATAGATACAGGAGTAAGCAAGTTTTATGCTACCAGGTAATTAATCATTCAGCAGTTTGCTTTTTTGGCACAGACAAATGCTACAGGAGAAGTAGGACAGTACAGTTTCTCTCATCATGAATTTACATACTTCTTGGACAAAAGTTAGTTACTGTAGCTGCTCTGATATCTAGAATGTAGATAATTTGATGACTTGCTCATCTTTGTTAGGACTCATATGTAATATAGCTGTCTCAAACCATGTTTCCTTGTATTGAATATTTCCTTGTATCAAAAAGTTTATTCCTCATCGTTTCAGAAGACAATTTCTTTTTTACTTTTTTTTTTTTTTTTTTTAAAGTTTATTCCAAGTATGCTCAAATGCTTGTTATTGTTATTTTACTCTGTTGATTTTGCTAAGGTCAGTCTACTCACATTGACCTTCTGAAAGAATTAATGATTGGCTTGATGCTAAATCCAAAGGTCTTGCTTCTTTTCCCGTCCTTCTCAACTTATCAGCTAGGTTGGGACCTTTGGATCATTCTTTCTCAACTCAGTTTACATAGTTTTTATGTGGTTTTCTGACTCTGCACAATATTTCTTTTCCAACTTACTACATTTACGTGGGTCATTCTGAATGTAATGCCTCCTATTTAAGTTACAAAGTTACAAAGAGCACAATAACATTGTTTGATAGAGCAAATTCTCAGCTACAAAACACTCTTCCTTAACATAGTCATGACCATGAGCTACCACCGCTGAACAAGAACCTGCAAACCCTGCTCATAAAAATCTGCACCAGCAGAGGTGGCCTACTGTTACTGTCACCACTGCACCATCCACCACCTCACTGTGCTCACATCCACGCTTTGGTCTGCATTATTGCTCACCAAGCATCAATGAATGTCAATGGGAACCATTTTTTTCTCATGGAAGAATTGAGTTCAACACCTTTTATACACACTTCTATATCAGACACCATTCTGTCAGACTGCCCCTCTGCTGCCATCTGTTACACAACAAAATTTAACAGAAGATTTGTGGGAAGGTTCAACTTCTACTGCCATACCACCACCATCTGCCTTTAATATTGTCAGTCAACATGATAATATAGGAAGCATTTATTTTATAGGGTCCTTAAAATTGTTGTCGCCATCGTTACAGCAGGCTTGTGCTGAATAACCTACCATTTATTTATTTTCCTGCTGAACTGCATTTTTTCTGCTCATATGATTTCAGTGAAAAACATTCTTTCTATTATTTCTCACATCTCAAAGGTCTGTTTCTTCCTGTCTGAGGTGCAGTTCCTCCTGGACATAAGCCAACCTTCATTTAAGTACAATCAAAGCAGAAATACTTTCTTTCTCCTGGCTAGTGTATATATATATATATATATATATATATATATATCATCTGACCTTGAACCCTTTATTCATGCTTCATAGCATTTTCCTTCCAGCCTTCACTTAGGACAGGCCATTTGACCAGCAGTTTGCCCTCATGGTGAGCCTTAATATCTAATGCTGTTTGTGCACCCATCACCTAAAATGCAATTAGTTATCATTATGCTTCTTTTATCACTTGACTACTGTCTGTGTTATTTGACAAAAAAAAAAAAAAATTCACTTGTCTCCTTAAAGTAATCACTCACATTTCTCTGCATACTTTTTTTTCCCCAGTACACAATAGGAATTAATAAAACTCACGTTTGTGATGTTTGAATCCGTCATTCTTCACTGTTCACTATTTGCATCAACATGAGAGTCCTCTTACTTTTTGTATGCTGGGTAGCTCTTTATCTTCTTCCCCTAGTAAAAGAAGGCTTGATCTACCCATATAAGTTCTAACAGTGATGTGAGTCCTAGAGAACAACATAAACAATTATTCAAATAATTATTCAAGTAAAGCTAGTTAGATTCATTCAAATAGAAGAAAGCTGCTCAAATTTACATAATTATTTGTTACCTAAATGAAATACTAGAACCTCCGAACATCACAGAGTCTGAGTTTATCCATAATATTTTGTTGCTGTTGTTCTTTCTGGATCTAATCAGACATGTGATGGGGACTGGGCATTTTGGATCAAAAATTGTTTAAGGTCACATCATGAATGTTATTCTAGCACAACTGCTAGAATAACTGCAACATCTTGAAGGATCCACTTGCTGTCCAAAAGCTTGCCAATTATTCTTAAAGTATGTGAGGATCTAGAAAAGGTATTTTTTCTATTAAAACTTTGTTTCAGTAGAGAATTTTAACTTGAACTAGGAACAGACGCTTCGCATCACTATTGCTGAGATCTGACCTGTACAGATTAACAGACAAATTGATTTTTATATATTTTTTAATATTCTATCCATCATTTTTGAATGACAAAAAGTACCTATCAGGCTTTCGTATGTAACCACATCATTCTGATAACTAGGTCATCCATTTAAAGCAACGTGGATCCAGTTAATCAGAAATATTATGGCTCAATAGTATCAGAAAGAAAAAACATAAAATGGTAAAATTCTAGTTTAAAAACATAATTAGAAAAAAAAAAAAAGCAATGGGGACATGCAGTACAGAGAAATTAACTGTTAGACTACTGTTAATGAAGACCAATGTATAAACTCAGCTATCTTTTAGTATAGCATCTGGTCTCTTTTTTTTCCCACTAAAATGCGTATATATATTAGAGAAAGCAATGTCTCAAGAGACTATACTACTGTTTAAATGTGAATTTCCATCTGTCCAGGAACTGACATCCCACCTTCCAGTGCATTTGCTGTTGTTCAAAACTGTAACGTGGTACAGCAACATACCTGAAGTACTTGAGGGACATGATGTTTGAGGTTAAAAAACAGCTTGTCTTACCAGTATTTCTGCTATATTACTCATAAAAATGACTTGGATGATAGGATGTCTGATCCGAGCTGGTCTTATCATTTATATGTATTCAATTATTTTTACATAAAGATATATCTGTCCAACAATGAAATTATGAAAGACGTCAGTTCCTTGTGCCTCTTCAAGGATACTGCTTGATAAATTCCACCAGAACTCACCCATGAGAAGTTGGCGCTGCAGATCTTATCTGTTAGCTAACAGGAGCAACACAGAAGAATCCAATATGTTTCTTAGAAAGCAAGTTTCAAAATTCCTGAAGTTCAGAAATCTGAAAGAGATGCTTGAAAAATAGTAGAATTACATATTATCTATGTATTATTATTTCTCTTTTGACCACATGTTTATTTTATTGTCAAATCCATATGGTCTCACGCAACATCCTTGTCTCTAAACTGGGGAGACATGGATTTGATGGAAGGACTATCCTCTGGGTAAAGAATTGGCTGGGTGGCTGCATGCAGAGAGTTGCTGTGAATGGTTCAGTGTCCAGGCAGAGACCAGTGGTGAGTGGCATCCCTCAGGAAAACTTGGAACAGGAACTAGAGGAGGCCAGAAAGAAGATTAGACATAGGCTGAAAGCTCTGAAGAGACCTCACTGCAGCTTTCCAAGTACTTAAAGGGCACTTGGAAGAAAGATGTAGCAACAGGACAAGGGATAGTGGTTTTAAACTGAAAGAGGTTAGATTTACACTAGATGTAAGGAAGAATTTCTTTGCTATAATGGTGGTGAGGCACTGAAACAGGTTGCCCAGAGAAGATGTGGATGCACCATCCCTGGGGGTATTCAAGGCAAGGCTGGCTGGGCTTTGGGCAACCTGATCTAGTGAAAGATCCCCGCCCATGGTAAAGGGCTTGAACTAGGTGATTTTTAAAGTTCCTTCCTACTCAAACCATTCTTATATATTCTAAATATACGACCATACCCAATCCATAGTCATAAAACCTGTGTTCTTAGAAAAGAAGACTGAGATTTCCTTGTCTTAAAGAAAATAAATGTAAAAAATTTTCTCCTACGTGAAAATGGATAAATTATGTGGATGTATTATGTAAGAAATGTAAGCAGTAATAAATCGAACTCTTGTCAGATTCCTAGCTCTCTGGCATGATTCTGTTTGTGCATTTTTTTATTTATGCAAACATACCTCTTATCTCTTTCTGCCAAAATGTCTTTTAAACAGTACTGCAGTATACTAAACTAAGTCAAAATGGTACAGCACAGTTAGCAGAGGTACACATATGTGAAGGACAGGGGCCAACAAGGAGCTAGAAGTTGCAATTAAACAGCAAATAATGACAGAGCTAGAGTGAGATAACCATTAGTCAATTTTTTTGCTTAAAGTTAGTCCAAAAGAAGTTTTGAAATTTAAGCAAATAAAATAGTCCTTGTTCACCAAATCCATCTGAGTTCAGGAAGATAGGACTTTTGACTGTCTTACTGGCAACTCGGATCATGCCATATCATAGAAATGCCTGACTTAATAATCAATTTCTTCTCCTAAAAGAGCTTTCAAAACACATGTTCTGATTAAGTACTTGTATGTGCTTATAAACATGAGTACAAACATACATATAAATACCTGCTCTAATTTTAGATGCCGTGTTTCTATTATAGAAAGGTGACAGAGCTGAAGAAAGTTCTGTGAATGCAAGGGACTTAGTGATCATAATCCATGACATTTTACACTGTCCTTTCTAGAGACAGTGCAGTGCTGACTACTGTAGAATGCAGAAGGTTCATGCAGCAAAAGGCATATCTCTTGGTTGGATTGATTTCATTCAGGTCAGTATTGCCACACATACAGTAACACGATCTGCCAACATATTTCAGGGTCACTACTGTGACAATACTTTCTGTCAGGGCTGCCAACTCAACCTCATGGCTCAATGTGAAATCTCTTAAATCTCAAATAGTCTTTGACAATCTCCTATTTACACAAGTATGTAAAATTTGAAGCCTGTCTTACATTTTTTTCTTGAAAAAAAATTACAGACATTATTAACAGAAATTTGCTGCGCACCTAAAACAACAATTGCAGCTTTTTTTTTTCCTCTCACTCATTCTAGAGTTAAAATTGCAGCAATTACATACACATCTGAATGGCTTCAAAAATTCTGGTTCCTTTAACCACTGCACCCACGGCAACTAAGAAAACTACTGGCCTTATTCAAAGGAGGTTTGAGTGATTTTTGTGTCAATTCTTAATATTTTTTCCACTTTTTTTTTTTTTTTTTTCTTGGAAGAGGCAGAAAACATAGGCTTTCCAACAATCTCATCCACCCAGGCTTCAAGGAGAGAAGAGCTCAATGCACCAACTTTCTTAGACTTCGGCATACTTTAGGGAGAACGCTGCAAAAACAGCTTTCATTCTTGTCTTTCCCACACTGAAGCACAGAACATCATGAAGAGACACTGACAAAAGTAGTAAGTCACAGAACCTCAGCTACTCCATGCAGCTTCTTGAGTTTTTAACATTCCTTTTGACAGATGAGCAATTACTCATTAATATTTTACAGCGTATGCATGCAGTTTATTCCTGTGAAAGAGGCTGGAGAGCTCTTGGACTATACAAGATCACAGATCTTTTCTGTTCAGTTTTCTATAGTTCAGCAAATAAGGCTGTGAGAATAAAGATGCTTCTTTCCTCACCCCTTTTTCAAAGAAAACAGAGTTCTTTGATAAGCACATTCCATTACTTGATGCTCTTGTTGGCAGCATCTGAGACTAATGCTTATACTTTAATTCCTCTTAAAAGTCTGTCTAGCATATGCTTGTCTTGATGGTAGGATTTGAATAGTTATTTCATAAATTCACCGTGACTTTTACACTGAATCTGATTCAAGCCTAAAGTTAGTGGTTCAAAAATAACACTTGCTCTGCACGCATGCATGTCATCTACTTTTCCATCATAAATGAAAAGAAAAAAATGGCAAAAGCAAGATTTTCTGCGAAAGAGTAACTTGAAGTTCTCCTAAGGCTGTGGCTCATCTAAGCTATATGTTTAATCCTTATCCTTTCACCTTCCCAAAAGAAAACTGAGCGAGATTCCCTTTGGGGTCTCTGTATTAGGAGATGGGGTCATTCCTGAGTTTTGACAGCTCTCTTCCCTGATCTTGAAAACCACATCTGTTCTGCTGAATTCCAACCATCTTTATCCAAGGAGGATGAGGATGGGCTCAGTGACAAGAATCTAGATACTATTCAGCACCAGGAATCTCTCAGATGTCATTGTAGAATATTGCAGTTTGATTCCTAGAATTTCACACCAGTTGCTTTTAACACCTCTGCAACAGAAAGATGATTTTCACTATGACTCAGAGAGCTTCACTTAGAATTTCTCCAGCCTGTCGTGCTTGAACAGAGAGCTATAGCTGAGCTGGCATCTCAATAGAAAGTAGTTTAAGGTTTCAACTTTCATATCTTAGAAGCAAACATGGCATCATAAGGAGATTTGGCAGGAAATTTCCTTGCAAAGCAAGTTTCTAGCTGAAAAACACCTTTTTTTTGACACGAGAAAGCTTCATTAAGAGGTTTTAGATCCACTATATGCAGGTAAAATACACAAAAGAAAGTCTTTCTTTCTACTACTTTTAGCTCCAGCTTTCTTTGCAGGCCACTGGGAAGACAGGTGCTGACTGCCCGCTGTGAGTGCTTGCACGTGTACTACAAACCTTCTGACTTTGAAGGAAAGTTTATATTTCCAGCAAGAGCTGCTGGAAACTGTTGAAGTTCCCCACTCAGGATAGCATACATGCTTCTAAGCAGAGGGCTAAACAACAAAGCCATGATAGGCAGGATGGAGTAGCTGAGATCCACAGTTATTAATTGTATGTATAGTAATAGCAGTGTCATCTCATACTATTCAACTAACATAGCTCCCATCTCCTTTGGAGTGGAGTACATCTCCTATATATCTGCACAATTAAATATCTATGTGTGACATATAAACCTGGACTATCTATATAGTTTTGACTAATCAGTCATGCTATGTTTATTCACAGCAAGTTTGCACCTCTTCTACCTTTAAAAGCAATTTCCTTAATACGAAGGAACATACAAGAACTTGTGATAGAGTGCAGCAAAGTAAAGGCATCCTGCAACATGCAGATTTCTTGATGGTTTTGTTGCTGTTGTTGTTTGTTTGTTTGTTTGTTTGTTTGTTGTCTTCTGGGGAGAGGCAAACAGACTGGGCAACGTGTCAGGCAAAACTTACTAAGAAATTCCAGCACCAAAGGAGAGTTTAACTCACTTTGAAGAGTTTTGTGACCTTTGAAGAGGTTGGTGATTGCAAAATATTTCAATGAACAGAGGTGTCAAATCAGCTGCAGAGCTGACTGCCAAGTCAGCTCACACAGGTGACCTACTAGAAATCCTGGTGAATTACAGATTCGTGAGCATCATCTGTCAGAAGTGGGGAAAGATCTGGAAAAATACCAATAAACTGCTGATGCTAGCATAGTTTAAGTGGTTCCAGAGCATTTATTTTGCTGACCCTTATCTCATGGATCTCTGCCAGACTGGGGGCAAAAATGGAATGGCTTGAACTTTGCCACTAGTAGGTTCACTGATTTATCCCTAACCTACAACGAACTTGGTTCTTGAATATATAAAAGTGATTTTTCCTAGTTAATAGACATCTTGCAACTCATGCAGAAGAGGAAAGTAAACAGAGGGAGAATTTCAGACCTTGAAATGTTGCTTATTATCTCTTCACTCCCCCTTTTTCATAGTTCCTACTACTAATAGAACCCCTTGAAGAGTCAATTCTACCCAATGAGTCAGCAAAGAACTCACCCAGAAAAATATATTCTGCTGTTTAGGGAGCTGGATTGGTCACTGATGTGCCAAAAGAGTGCCAGAGCTGGAGCAAAACAAGTAGCAGGGCTAAGAGACCAGATAAGGATGAGAGGGAAACAGAATCATCCCTTTTTCTAGCACCAGTGAATTAGATCAGGTCAGCCTCTCTTCTAATTAAAATGACAGAAACACTACATTGATACTGCAAACAAATCCTTAATAGCAACTGCATCAGCTGTAAACAACAAAATCAGTCAGAAAGACGTTTCAAACTGGAAACTGAAGATAGCAGATTTCATCTTAGCAATCCTAAAGATTATCCAGTCATGGTTTTCAGCAGGAAAAGTCAGATGAAGCAGGCAAGAAACGAAGAAATTCTGATTGATCTGTGACACAGATTCATACAAACCACAAGTCATCCACTCTGAACCTCAATGCTCTACCACTGATTACTAAGTGGGTAAGAGGTGTTT